GTTATCTCCCCAAAAAACCTGCTTCCCATGGGGTATTTTCAACAGCAGTTAAAACTAAAATGGATATCACATGTAACTGGAAGAGAAAAATAATTATATATTATTTTTCCTATTTAACAGACAAAACTTCACAGAGCTCTAGCTATAATGCCGCTATTTCCATAGAAATACATATATATATATATATATATAAATATATATATATGTGTGTGTGTGTGTGTGTGTGTGTGTGTGTGATTGCTTATATATGCCTTTTATTGTATGTATATGTTTCTGATATTTCCTTTTTTGGGTCGGGGACATCTATTTCCTGTTTTTCCATGTTTTTTGCGTGTTTATATATATCTAAATATGTCTATGTGCTTGCATAATATAATATGATTGTGTATATATTGTCATTTGCAAAAATTTATTCCCTGCCCATATCATCCCTTCAAATGTATCTAAGTTAATACAATATTTTGTATATCCTTAGATTAGCTCTGAGATTTTGGCTTTTCGATTAAAACAAAATAAATAATAAAATATATGTATTTTTCCCCAGTTCCTTCTTTAAATAATTTTCAGATATTTTAAACTTAATACAGGTTGAATTTAAAATTGGTAATTTCTATTTTCAAATTTATTGTGAAATTTGAAATTAATCACTTACAATGATTTCTATTTTAGTCTCACTCTAACATTAAAGGATTAATAATTACGAGCAAGGTTCGTTGTCAAGATTTTCATATACTTGTATTTTGATTGGGCACCTCGAGGCGGTGTAATGGTTAGAAAGCTTGGCTCGCTAGAACAATTACGACTGAGTAGTGAATTCGATCCTCACTGGGTGCCCCCTAATTTTGGCCTTGTGCCACATCTAAGCTACACTTGGAAAATCGCTACTTGTATTTTGATTGGTCATTGCAGCTTATATAACAGCGTTTCCCCTATCGAGGGGTGTTTGGTTGATCTGAGCTTTTTAAAACTCTTTATTCTACATTCAACACCATCACTTGATAAGACATCAGATGTGTTGAAACAAAATGGCTATTTTTGTAGTGATTCTATAACATGTTTCTGTTATAATTTTTGAATAAATAATATTTGTCTACTCTTTACTGGGCACTCTTGTAAGAACAATATTTTTGGTTATTGGAATTTATTGCGTCTACACCAATCCTATACTTGGGAAATATATATATATATATATATATATATATATATATATATATATATATATATATATATATGTAACAACTTGTCGATCAGAAAAGTATTTAGATATAATAGATTCTATTGTTATGGTCAAGGTTAGCACCAAGGAAGAACAACACGAAAACATGCGTAGAAATAACGAAGGTATATTACACGAAATAATAATACAAGATGTGGAAGGTGTTAGTATGACTGTCAGTCTGGTTTGGAGTGAACTACTATCGGCTCGACTCGATTCATCCCTCTCTCTTGAGAGGCGTATTATACGTAGTGTTAGGAAGAGTTCATTCTGGAGTTATAGGACACTTGTACAATTACTTTAAATTACTATCATTAAAAACCTTTTGAATTATTGTAGTTACTGATGTAACAGAAGTACTTTGCATTTATTCAATCGAAGTAAGCCGAGAACATGAAGGGATAAAATAAGCGACATGAAGACCCACTTCAGAGCACAATTATTTTGGAATTTTTGAAATCCCATTTGTCAGATTGCTATCAGGGATATTAAAGAGGTTACATTTATAAAGCAATTGTTCAGTTTGATAAAAACTGATTGAAAGATCAAAAATAAATAAGAAACCAGTAAAAATCGCAATTTTTCGCTATTACGCGGGTTTTCAATATATTGGTGGACTCAATTATCAAATTAAATGACTGTTAAACAATCGACTTATTGTTGGCTACAATTGATTGAATGAAGTCTGTGTTAGTTTGCTTGAAAATTGAAAGAGATTTTAGTTTAAAATTTGTGTCTATTTCCTTTGAAATCGATTTTTCGTTTTTCGTTAAATGCAGTGTTGTAGGAATACATATGAAGTATCGTTGAGCTCGTCATGATGTAAGTAACCTACATAGCGAATTTGAACGAAATCGGAAGAAAAAAGTTGAATTTTGTTTTGTCGGCTTTATCGATTATTGAATTTTTTAAAAAAATTATCGATTTTTTAAGCTAAGTACCTATCTCTTCATTGTAAAATGCATGTGCCAAATTTGGTCAAAATCGGTTGGATAGATCTTGAGTGAAAAATATCACACAGGCAGACAGACATACACTGTTTTTATATATATATATATATATATATATATATATATATATATATAGTATAAAAAGACAATTGCTGACGAGTGGATGAAGCAATTACCGAAGTGTCCGTCTACGAAACCCTGGAGTCAGGATGCTGGCGATAACATCAATCAGATAAGTTTTACTTGTATTAACTCTAATTTTTACATGCATACATATATAAAAAAATAAAAGAGGAGCAGGGGCATTCTGGGAAGGAATTTAATTATTTCTTTTTTTGAAAATCAAAAGTGAATTAGTATTGTAGAGCGTCCAAGCAAAACAAAAGCCCATTTTGAAAAAACATACCGTGAAACAGTCTGTTAGCTGTTAAATTAAATATATATATATATATATATATATATATATATATAGATAGATAGATAGATAGATAGATAGATAGATAGATAAACCTAGTGAGCCAGACAAACCTACCCAGGTTTCACCTAAACGGATCGTCAGGGAAAGCCGGCTTTCGTGAAACCTAGGTAGGTTTGTCTGGCTCCCTAGGTGTATCTAGGTCTGTTCTACGGTTGTATTGAGCTCTTTTGTTAGTTAGTTGTTTACTCGTGTCAGGGTTTTTTCTTTGGGCTTCAAATCTGTATCTGTGCGATCTTTTTCGACAGACATTCATGCTTCTAGCTCTTTCTTTTTTTAAAACCTTTTTTCCCTCGAGATTGATTTGATTATTGGCAAATCAAAAATCCGAGGTATTTTCGAATCGAGTATAGTTATCTATCTATCTATCTATCTATCTATATATATATATATATATATTACATCGCTACACAAAAACATTCATATTTCGGTACTAAGATGGTAGTTCTTTAGATAACTAATGAGAAAAGGATTTATTAGTCAGTCAGTGATGTACCATTGCGTGATACACGCGTAGGCGATCATAAGAAGCAGATTTTTCCCCCACTAATTTGCAATTTTTTCAGCGGTAGACCAGTTGCCATGTAAGGTTATAGAACCCGGTCTGTCCTGCTATTTATCCATAGCTGGCGGGTGGTGGTGGGGGGAGAATAAGATGATTCATACCTTTCCTAAAGGTATAAGCACGTAAGTTTATGTAATAGATCCGAATAGAATTCGAACTCGGCTCTCCGATTCCTCAATCCGAGCAGCTATCCATTACTCCACCGTGGGATATTTAAAAAAAGAAATCTTTACCTCTTTTCGTAAGTTAAGGTGGGGAATAAGGTTAGAATTAAAAATATACGTATGGGTATGTCTAGATTAACCAATGATCGTCAGGTCTAAACTAAAATATAAAAATAACGTGGAGGTGGGTGGATTATTATTACATGTCAAGAAAATTGATGCTTAGACATGTCATTCAATGATATTAGGGAACAACTTAAGCGACAAATAAGTTATTGGTGTATCCAAGAATGGTTTGTCGATTTGTTGAAGTAGGCATAAATTTATTAGAAACAGACATTTTTTTTAAACATTTTTTTTTTAATATACTCATAAAGTTTCTTAAAGGAGCCAATAGGTAAAATTGAAGTTTTGGAAACAGCAATAAAGGCTGTTAATTATAATGAATCATACTTATTATAAAACCCAGGTTGTGTGTGTGTGTGTCCTGTTCGTTTATATATTGGATCGGCTTTCCTACATTTTTCAACCGATTTCAACAAAATTTCACAGGACGACGTAAAATTACTTGCGGTGGTTCTGACAGCGCCAAAAATTGGAAAAACACAATTGTTTTTGCACGAAATCAATTTGAAAACACGATTAAGAGGCATCGCTGTCGCCAGAATGAAAGGGAGACAACTCATACCGAGTTATACTTATTATAAAACTCATATTGTTTGTGTGTGTGTGTTCGTTTATATATGGGATCGGATTTCCTACATTTTTCAACAGATTTCAACAAAACTTCACTGTGTTTCTTATTGTCTTGCACACTTTTTCTTTATTTTTACATTCAGAAAAAAAAAGACAATTGTTTATGATAAAATTCTATTCAATCGGTAAACTCATAACGATTGAAAACAATGTTTTTGTTTGAGTTTGACCAATTCGTAAAAAAAAAACCTAATTAAGACATGCGTGTCCGTCAACCTTATACAATAATCTTTGTCAATTTTATTTTTCAGTCTTTATGATGGTCGATACTTGATCTATCTCTTACTGTTACATCCCCGGGAAACGCCAGGCTCTACTGCTAGTAGACACTAAAACATGCATGGCAATATTATATTAAATCGATTAAATGTTGGGTGGACCATTAAATAATAATAAAATAATGGCAATACAAGTGAAATACGTAATTATTTATGAAAAAAATAACAGGTTTACATTAAGAAACTTTATAATAGGTAATTTTTTCTTGCAAATATGGGGATATGGATCATGTGAGGATTTACATGTTGTAGATTTTTTAATATTTTCCACTGTGTGTATATATATATATATATATATATATATATATATATATATATATATATATATAGCCACTGCTCGTGCGTTTTGTGTCTGTTCAATTGCAACAAAAGATTGATTTATTTCTTTAATTGGTTTGGACAGTTTTCTTGATATAGGTGCTGAGTTTGAGCATAAATTGTCCAAAGAGTTCTGAAATGAATTCGGCTTTCAAAAGACATTATCAGATTATTTTTGAGAATTCATCGTATTTTTCAAGTATCACGCCTTCAGGTCTCAACTTCTGGTGTCTTGTCATTTTTTTTCCTTATTTTTGTTTAATTTTAAATATAGGTTCTTAGTTTTCCAGTCTTAATAGTTGTGGTATTTTTTCAAAAGTTATGCCAACTTTAGTAAATAACAATAAAAAGTGCTTATGGAATGGGAGATAGATAGATAGATAGATAGTTAGATAGATAGATAGATAGATAGGAATATATTGAGATAGAGAAAAATAGGAACAGGTTGAGATAGATAGATAGATAGAATAGATAGATAGATAGATATGAAAAGGGTGATGAAAGGGTGAGAAAAGAGAAAGAATATATATATATATATATATATATATATATATATATATATAGATAGATAGATAGATAGATAGATAGATAGATAGATAGGGTGGTTGATTGATAGGAATATATTGAGATAGATAGGAACATATTGAAATAGATAGGCCTACACTGAGATAGAAAAATAGGAACATATTGAGAAAAGGTTGAGAAAGAGAATTAGATAGATAGATAGATAGATAGATAGATAGATAGATAGATTGGTTGACCGATTGAGTGATACATATATACTGAGATAGATACGAACAGACTGAAATAGATATGAATATATTGAGATATAAAGATAGAAAAAGATTCGTATAGATAGATAGAGTGAGAGAGAGAGAGAGATAGAGAGATAAGGAAAGCTGAGAAAGAGAATGATATATATATATATATATATATATATATAGATAGATAGATAGATATGTTGGTAGGAATATATAGTAATAGATAAGAACAGACTGAAATAGATGAGAATATATTGAGTTAGATAGATAAGATTCTTAAAAAAGGGCAAAATAATTTTTCTTTGCAAATGTAACTTTATTTTTCACTAATGCGTTTAATTTTTTTTTCTTATGAATTTCTTGAATTTTTAGACGATTGTTAATAAGACAGATATTTTAGGGGGCGAAAGGTCATTAGTATTTTTCTTTATTTCCATTCATTTTATGCTTCCTCCGATTTCTGGTCTTATATTTCGATTTTTACTCTTCTCTTATTCTTAACTCGAGAAAATATTTTGCTTTGTTTTGTTTTTTTGTTTTTTTTTCGTTTCTATAACTTGTCAGCATTTATCTTTGTTGTTAATTTTGTGAATATTGACGTCGTATTTTTGTTTTTATTTCATTATTTTTTTTTTAGTTATTCGCCTTTTGCTTTCATGCGATTGGCAAAAAGCCATTTTTTCCCACCGGAATGAGATTGATGCCAAAAGAAAAGAGATATGGATTCGGATGTGTATATATGTGTGTGTGTGTGTGTGTGTGTGCGTGTGTGTTTGTTTGTCTGTGTGTGGAGGAAGGAGGAAGGTCCAGACGGCCTGATAGGCGAAAACTAAAAGAATGACGGACATCAATCAAGTGATAAGCATCTTATGTCGTCGGCAAATGCCCTTTTTTAACCCAGTCTGAATACACACAAACACACACACACACACACACACACACACACACACACATATATATATATATATATATATATATATACAAAGAGAGAGAGAAAGAGAGAGAGAGATAAATAGATAGATAAAGAATATGTGAGTGCGTACGTGTGTCTGTTGATGACACTAAGAACACACACACACACACACACACACACACACACACACACACACACATATATATATATATATAATACCATCCATGTTTGCTGAATACAAATACACACACATACACACGCAAACACAAACACACACACAGACACACACACACACACACACATATATATATATATATATATATATATATATATATAACGTTTAGAAGATTGAACAGGCACATGACTGAAAAAGTATTTTTATACTACGCACAGATAGACATCTACATATTCAATATATATATATATATATATATATATATATATATATATATATATATATATATAAAGTTCGTGTGCTAGTGTATTTGAGACACGGTGGAGTGGTGGATAGCGGCTCGGTCGGACTGAGGAAGCCAAGTTCAAATTCCAGACGAATCCATTACATTTACTTACGACAGAATGGTTTCTATAGCCTTGCATAGCAACTTTTCTAGTAAATGGATCATTCTGAATTCAAAAGCTGTGGAGGACCGTTTGAGGACCTTGTGGCACCAGGTCTCTGTGTTTGGGCCTTCAAAAAGTGTGGTTACCTCTGCAAATATGCTGGGGTCTGGGCTGTTGGTTCCAAGGATCTTAGCTGCTTGACCATTATACGTTGAGTACGACGGAAAAGACCACCATATATCTACAGAAACTTATCTGTATATGGAATACAGACCTAGAGCTCCATATGGGATTAAAGATATCTCAGCGTATATATATATATATATATATATATATATATATATATATATATATATATATATATATATATATAGTCTTAAGATGTGCTATATTTATGAGATAAAGTGCTCAATATCAGAGATAGAGTGTGTGTAAATGTAAAAGTGAACATAGAAGTCAACACTTAGAGGCGACAGTCTGTTTCATGCCAGATGCAATTGTCAGGCCACGAGTGCTGTTATTTTTCTCGGCTATTTATATATATGGGTCAGTGGTGCATTGTGGGTAGTCTATTTTGGCGGTCATTTTACCGGAAGTCCTTTATTTGTTTATTTATTTATTTGGGTTAAATTATTTTGCTTGTTTTTTTTTTTTTGTTTTTTTTCTTTAAATTTCTTATAATATATATTTATTTACTTATTATTGTAATCGCTGTTTTTATTAACGTAGTAAAAAATTGTTTATATCACTTATTTAATACTTTTGTTTTGGTTTGGGAAGATAAAGCTATTTATTCAATTTTGTGGTTGACTGTTGTAGTTTATTCTAGCTATTATTTTGTCGGGAACAGTTTTCAATTTGTTTATTACTTCAAGTATTTATTTAGATTCATTATATTTAATTGTTTTTTTCTAACGGTTAGTTTATCGGGATCGGTTTGTTTCTTCATTTATTTATTTGGATGTATTTAGGTCAATTTACTTGTTATTATTTATTTGTTTTACTGTATATTTTCTCTTTTCGGTTTTCGATTTTTAAGTAAGGTAGTATTTTTTTTTTCTTTTATCGTTATATAACAGTTATAGCTATTTTTTCTCCGATGTTTGGTTTGATATTTTTAGTCTAACTAATATTTTGGTCAAAATGGTTTGCTAAATTTTTTTATTATTTACTTTATTTATTTGGGTTCATTGAATTTTTTTTCTTATTTTTATTCTATTTCGTCTATTCTAACAGGTGTGATTTGGTAATTTGTTTGGGTTAATTTATTTTGCTTATTTATTCTTATTTTGTTGATTTTATTTTTTATTTTTATTTTATTTTATTTTTCCGTTTTTGATTTTTAAGTAACGTAGTAAAAATTTGTTTTCATTTCTGTATTTCGAGATGAGCTCGGATCTTTTATTTAATAATTCATTTTGGTCTGAGAAGGTAATGATAGCTATTTTTTCCCCCGAGAAAAGTTTGCAAGTTTTTGATTGGTTTTTGTAGGCTGATGATCTTTTCCTTATTGTTAATGATATTTTTGGTGCGATGTGTGTTTTTGTTTTTAATTTCCCAGATGTACTTAGAAAGCATTGTGTTGTTCGCATATTTACTATTTGTGAAAGATGTTTTGTGTGGACATTTTTTTTGTTTCCAGGGTCCTTCAGTTACTCCTATGTATACTTTTTCTTCATTATCTGGTGATTTTATCGTGGCTTTGTATATTACGTTATTTTGTAAACAATGGCCGGTTGTAAAAAATTACCGTTTAAAGGGATATATATATATATATATATATATATATATATATATATATATATATAATTATTTATTTAATAGCATATTCATAATTGAAATCAAAATTTCCATGGTAAGAGCCAGGGCGATTGTTTGAATAGGAAGTTGTGTTGGGTGGTAATAATATGTATCAGTATAGAGTTACATTCATAGATGTCAAGTCAGGGTAAGGTAGGGGTGTCTAAATTTAAAACGGAAGATGTTTTCGCCCATTCTGGTTTACGTGTCTATGGAGATTTATTTATTTTTTTATTTTATTTCTTTATGAAAGGGTTATGTGTATATAAAAACTGCCGTAACATTTGTTTTTTGACGACTTTATAAAGGGTTATCTGTTTTTGTAGGGTATTCAAACTATTTATTAGGGCCATGGATTATAATTTCCATTATGGAAAATTATAAACAGGACTAGAACTTGTAAAACTTGGGATGACCCATGCCCTTTATGCCTCCATGAGAAACTGCACATTATTAAGTTTCTAAATAATAAAAAATCTATTAAACAATAGACATGAGTTAACGGTTTTTTGCCGACAACATCAAATTTTTGCATTGAATAATTAGCTTATAAACAAGCATACAATAATATAATTTTTATAATCCATATCCTATTAAAACACGTAAATTTCAGAAAATTTATTCCAAAAAAAATTTCGCTTGAAGATGGAACAGAACTTTAATTCAATTTAATTCAAATAATTATATTGAAGTATTAGATTCTTGTTTTGAAAGATGAGATCTCTTATGTAGCGTGTTGGCATCATATTTTTAAATAAATAATTATATTTATGCTCTACTTTTGTATCGAGCACTATTTTTTAAAAATGATAACAAAATACTAAAAAGAATTTGGATTATTTACCTAACCAGTTCTTTCCTATTTTCTATATATTTTCACACACACACACACACACACACACACACACACATATATATATATATATATATATATATATATATATATATATATATATAAATATATATATATATATATATATATATGTGTGTGTGTGTGTGTGTGTGTGTGTGTGTGTGTGTGTATATGGCTGTGTGTATAGCGTGAACACCTTCATTCTCGTAACAACTTGAACTTGCAGATGGAGAATAAAAAGCACATTTTTTACAATTGCGGATAACCTGATAAAAACAGTAAACTTATAGTTTTGGACGGTCACTGTTCAGACGGACTTTAATAAGAAATATTAAGGCCCTGTCAGCATATTCCCTTGTTGCTTGTCTTTTATTTAAGTTAATATATAATAGATCGATAAAAAACGTCAAAGTTTATGTCTTTATAAACAATAATTTGGCCTTTGTTAACCAGACGCTTCACTGTAGCTAAATGATATAGCACTTCATAAATATCGACGATTTTTATATAGAAATACAGGTTCGATTCCTGCCGAAGAACGCATATTTCTCGAACATTCAGGCCGCTAAATGTAATTAATACTGTTGAATTAAAAGACAGAGCTTTACTTAAATAATTTATAGCTATAAAAATAGCGTATAAACAGAAAATATATTAAATGTTTGACGGATTAATCCATTTCATTATTGTTATGGGACCTTACCCATAATAATATAATGGACTATTGCATACGTAATAAATACTGCGCCTCAAGAGGAAGCAGGGACTTCAGTCCGAGGTCGGGCGACCGGCTGATCGGTTGAACTCTCTGCCTTCGGGCGGGGAAGGACCCGAACGAGGCTAAGACGAAAGGCGGAGTCTCTTTCGGGGAGTTAAACCGACCCTGAACCCGTTTATACGGGTTCAAAGGGCATATTTTTGGCCGAGCCCACGGCGCGGACATCCCACGTTAAACCGGCCTTGTGCCACATGATGCCCTCGTGGGGGGGTGACTAAATACTGTTCAGTCTGAATTCTGGAGTGAAATCTGTGGGGAGTCTGTCAGTCAGTCAGTCAGAGCGAGCGAGTCAGTCAGTCGAGTCAGAGGCAGTCCGAAACAGAGTCGCGTTCAGACAATTACTACTAAACCTGATTGTTCGTACTAACACTTTCTACTTCTCTGTATATATTCCTCTTTGTAATATATCTGTGTTATTCCATATCCGTGTTCGAGTTCTTCTTTATTGGTTCTACCTTGGACTATCACCATGGTACAAGGAACCGGACCATAACAATTATATATAGAGAAGTTGTTTAATTTTACATTATATTTTTCCAATTTTTGGATAATGTGTTGAGTTTTGTGTATGAAGTTGTGGATAAACTGTCCGAAGTTCATATTTTAATATTATGTTCACGTAATTTTGATTTTCTTATCAAGAACCGATCTCGTGTCTGCGTCGTAGAAAGAATCTATTTGTCTACATCCTGGTTTTCTTTTGAAAGATGGATATTTGAAATTGTCTAGGGTGACGTCATATCTAGCGGATATTGAGGACCAGACCTATTAAAAACAAAACAATTTATTCATTATATATATATATATATATATATATATATATATATATATATATATATATATATAAATATATAATACTAATAAAATGTTTTCACATGAATTTCATATTATGTACTTCCGGACAATTTCTTCTGTGATCAATGATATATTATTTAATTTG